CGGAATCCATAGAAGGAACCTCAGCACTAGAATAAAAAATATACGCCAAATAATCCAAACACCCTTTTTCCACCATACGCCGAGTTTTTATATAAGAGACAACCCTACTGACAAAGGACTAGGAGTCCCTCTCCACTCTAATCGAGTCAAACCTATCAAGGCTAAGGTCAAGGTCATGGCGTGACAGTCCAATATAGCATGATAAGGTGAGAGCCAATCCATCCCCAATACAACATCAAAATCAACCATATCCAGAAGCAAGAGATCGTAACGGGTCTCAAGACTTCCAATAATAACCGCACAAGAGTGATAGACACGATCTACAATAATAGAATCACCCACCATTGTAGACACATATACAGGAATACTCAAAGAATCACGAGGCACAACCAAATATGTGGAAAAATAAGATGGCACATAGGAGTATGTAGACCCTGGATCAAATAAAACTGAAGCATCTCTACTTCATACTAAAATTGTACCTGTGATAACGGCATCGGATGCCTCGGTCTCAGGACTGGCATCGGGTACCTGTGAAATCTCACTTAACAGGTGCAGTTATCGCAATTGCAATCAGGGGTTCGCAATTGCGAACCCTGTAAATTTCTGCTCCCTTCGCATTTGCGACAATTACGTCGCATTTGTGACTCCTGTGACCTTAGCATTTCTGGCCAGAGTGTCGCATTTGCGAGAATAGCCTGCCCAGGCCTGGTTCGCATTTGCGACACAATTGTTGCATTTCCCAGGCATGTTCACTTCGCAATTGCGAAGCCTGATCTCGCAATTGCGAGACCAGAGGCCTGTGCAAAAATACAAGATGCACATGTGAGTGTTCCTAATTCCAAATCACCCCGTGGCCTATCCAAAACTCATCCGAGCCCTCGTTGCTCCAAACCAAACATGCACGCAAGTCTAAAAATATCATATGGACTTGCTCATGTGATCAAATCATCAAAATAACATCAACAACTATGAATTTAACCTTAATTCATGAAATTCATAAGATAGTTCAAATTTTCTATTTTCTCAACCTAAGGTCCGATTAATCAAATCAACTCCGATTCTTACTAAATTTCACAAGTTAGACTTAAACATTATTTTAAACTTGTACCAGGCTCCTGAACCAAAATACAGGACTGATACCATCAAGAACACACACCATTTCATTTCCAAAAGTCTTTATATTTTCCAACAAACAATTTTTTCTTTAAAAATTCTTTTCTCAGGCTAGGGACCTCGGAATTCGATTTCGGGCATACGTCCAAGTCCCATATTTTATTACGGACCCTACATGACCGTCAAATCAAGGGTTTGGGTTTGTTTACCAAAAATATTGACCAAAGTCAACTTTAATCAATTTTAAAGGGCTAAATTCAATATTTCTCTTAAAGTTCACATAAAAGATTTCTAGAAACGCGCCCGGACTACGCACGCAAATTGAGGTGAGATAAAAGAAGGCTTTTAAGGCCTCGAAACACAGATTTAACTTTTAAAATAAGAGATAACATTTTGGATCATCATAGTAATATAACAACATGAAGGAGCTGCCTGGATCAAACGGAAATTGATGTGGAAGACCTTGAATTCAAGGTGTTGCAGTAAGCAAGTAACTCAATTTTATAGCAAGGAGATAATGCTCCTCTACATTAATTTTAAGCATAGACCAATAGAAGATGTCTAGTTGCTTATGTAGAAGGTATAGTGCAAGTTTCTTCACCAACAGAAGAATAATATGAACATCATTAGCGCTGCATTTGCTTCCAAATGTTGTACTATATAAGGGAATAGGGAAGAATGATGTCACATATCCAGTAAAGCTACATGTGTGCTAGTGTAAAAATTTTAAATGTTGCAGTTTTTTAAAATGCAACCCAACAGCTTGGTTATCTAGGCCAATCAATATACCACTTGGATCAAAAGTGAAATACAAACCATGCACAACTCCATCCCTTAAACTAGCAGAATCATTGGTGTTTGACAAAAAAAATATGTAGTCCGACAACCTCAATTCTAGATGTTGCAAACAAATTCCTCACAAATGTAACCTTCCAAAATGTCCCCAGACTAAATGTCCCTAATTTAACTTTACCTTTGGTTGGAGAATTCACTATCAACTCTTTGTGAGTTCCTTGTAACCATATAACTTTGCCATCTCCAAGTATACTATCAAGGTTAAGAAAACTAGAATGCATTGCCACAATGAACAAAATCAAATAACCACAGATGACATAGCTTGCAAGCATGTATTTGTTCTACCTCCTTATCAATTATAACCTCTTTGTATTCTTGACCAGCAGTCCCTCCAATAATATCCCACAGTTTCATACTACCAATAGAGTCCATGGTTAAGATATGCCCTTGCTAACTTAAAAACCCATGATGCATTATTCCTGGAGTTGGAGAGATGTTGAAATATGGTTCCTCACAGAGAAGAATATATCCTTCTAAGGAAAACTTTGCTTCAGTAGTAGACACGTTTCTGGCCATGACTACACTCCTTCTTTGAGAATCCTTCTGGATTTTACACTCACTCACTGACCATTTGTATGCAGACAAACCAGTGGATGCTAGCTCTTTTGAGTCATCATGCAATGTGAATTGCAAAATTGAGTCCCAAGTAATATATTCTCCTTCTTGGACAACACTATTAAGTGTAAGGAAGGATCTCCTTTACCAATGTTCAAAAGGTTATATGTTGGAATGATAGCACCTGGACTGACAAAATCAATATACACAACAGAAGGACCACATAGCCTTGCTCCCTCTATGATTGTAGTTTCAGGTAAGGCCACAGCTAGATTGCTATAACCTTCCATTGTCACCAAATCTCCAAAGTACAAAAGCTATTATTATACCAGGTAAAAGTCCAAAACTAGCTTGTTAAAGTTTAGGAACCATACGCCATTTGTAGCAGAATGTCATTGGAACCATATCAAACTTAAGTGCAATCGTTTTTATCTTGCTTATAAGAACATGTTTGGCTCTATCTTCCCAAGAAGCAGTGAATTCAGTGACTTTTATTCCAGAAACATTATCAAATAACCTCTTTTTTCTAATCTGCAATATACTAGCTTCCACCAAATCCATAGGCAATTTGTAGCAAAGTGCCCTTAGAGTTTCTCTCCAGTAGTCAACATTTATCAGTTCAACATTCACAACCTTAGGATACATAAACCACTGACATACAGTATCCCGCACTCTCCTCATGTTATCAGATGATCGAGGCAAGCAAAATCTGTTAGAAAAATCCATCAATTTTTCTCGAACATCGTCTATCTGACTAGCTAACTTCACACTAGTCAAAGTAGTCAAACCTATTCATGGATCCCATAGAGGAACAACCATTCCATTTCCAACTAAAACAAGAGAGAACTTGAACCATCAAGTGATGTGGTGCAGTGGATGGGGTTGTTCCTCCCTTAACCAGAGGTCTCGAGTTCGAACCCTGGGTATGGAAAAATCCTTGGTAGGGAGCGCTACCCCCGAATGGGGCCTTACCCGGCGCGAATCCGGATATAGTCGGGCTCCAATGCGGGTACCTACACCATGTGAGAAACCAAAAAAAAAAAGAGAACTTGCTTTTATTTATTATGAATACATGTACTACCTTGACATGATCTCTTCCTGTCATTTCATGTGAAACCTTGTGATCAAAGTTATCCTCTCAGCTTCAATGAAAAGTGCAGGTAAACACATGTCGTCTAAAGCATCTAATTACTCTCAACAGCACCATAAATCGGTTTTGGCATTTTATCAAGCACCTTGTGAGCAATATTCCAGCTCTCATGTTCTACGAACAATTCAGTCAAGAACGTGTCTTCCAAAGCATCTATATCATTATAACTTTTGTTTTTCATAAAAAGCACATTTAAACACATATCCTCCAAAACTTCAACACTCTCTATGAGGTCAGAATCTAAAGGAGAAGTTTCGAGGTCAAACTTTCTATTCTTGAAGCACTTCCAACACAAGCGGAGATCTTCATGTTTTAGGCGATAGTACCTCCCACTAGAACAAACAACGGAGCACGATTTGCAGTAGTATTCATATGACTCTTCAGATTTTACCCATTTTTTGCTCAATTGTTCTTCCAATTTTTGAAAAAGCCTCTGATTCTCAGCCAATTGTTTATCCTTCGATTGCATGTGTAAATGCTTTCCATCAATTGAATGTGTGAGTGAACTAAGCATTTGGATAAGCTCTGCATGCTTCCGATCCATATCCTCGCGCAATTCCTGTTGTGTATGCTCCATTACAACTCGAAGATCTAATTGTCAAACTCTCAAATTCTCGTACCGCTCTTGTAAATCCATAGTTGGATTTTCAGTTACAACATCCACCGCTTTTTGAGGACCCATAATTCGCCAAGCTCTAATACCAATTGATACCAAATTATTGGTATCGAGGTGTAGAGAAGAATCAAAGAAGAGAGGAAGAGAGAAAGAAGATCAGGGGAGAGAAGAGATATTCAGGGGATAGAGACAGAGAAGAGAGGTTGAGAGAGAAGAGAGGAGATACAAGGAAAAAATCTTATTTGTCATTACTCAATAAAATTACAATGCAGTGATAGTCACTTTATACTCCTAACTAATCTTCTGTGAAGTATGATGAAAATGAAATAAAAAAAAATTAGAAATTAAATTAAAATCTAACAAACTTTCCCGTCAGAATGGCTCCCACTCACTCAAGCTACTTTCGAGCTAAGTCCCTAATTTCTGTATCAGTACCGAGAGCAAGAAGAGGATAGGAAAAGCGGAAAAGTATGTCTTCAGGGTTTTTTTAAGCGAGGGAATTGTGTGCAGTCATGCAAAACTTTGTCCAAAAGAAGGGTATATATGTTTCATACTATAACGGTAGAGTTTGAGTGACCAAATAAGAATACAAAAGATATATAAATTATTTTAGATAGAACAGAAGTATTAAATTAAAATATTTGGCCATTTTCCGATATAAATATCTAAGATAACTTATTTGAATACGTAAAATCTGGAATTTTTGGAGAGAGAAGAAACGTCAACCACATGAAAGATGAAACATAAAACAAAAACAAAGAAAAGATTAGTCGGAAAATTATTCCCCCTCAATTCAATGGAACAAAGCCTTCTTCAATGGCTAACTCATCCATCAATCTCCAACAATTCAACCAAACTGTAATATCCTTGTCTAACTTCACAAACTTATCTTCACTCTCTTTTCCGGCCTACTCAAAGGTTCATCTCCATAAACATCATCAATTCAAGAAGATCAACACCACGTTATATCATTTCCGTCTATTTTCTCGAAGAAGTTTTTTGGAATACGAAGATGAAGATGATCTAAACTCAGATAATTACAGTTTCCAAGAAGCTGTAGCACTTTTTAATAGCAGAGATTATTACAGGTGAAGAACTGCAGTTGGTCAAGTTTTAAATCAATAAATGTGTTCCAACTCAAAACTTTGAGTTTGTGAAAATTGGTGTATTTTACTCTCACATCCTTTTTTTTTTTTCCTGAATGTGAAAATTGGTGTATTTTACTTAATTTGTTATAAGCTGAAGTTCCTTCATATTTACACAATTTTTCAATCTTTAAATTTGATGTTGTATAATTAGATTTAATTCATTTTGGCTCGTCGAATTTAGGGCATGTGCACAAATGGTTCTTTTGGATGCCACTTCCGAATTCTATCTACTGATAAAGGCTAGTTTGTCTGCCAAAAAAAAAAACAGTCGATTGTGCTAATGGAAATTAAAGAGTGGCTTCAAAAAGGAAGTCGGAATTACACTATTTAATTCTGCTTTCACCCAATAATTGGAGGAGTTATTTCACATTAGATAGTCTGTTTGGCCAAGCTGCAAAAATCAACTTATTTTGAGAAGTGTTTTTTCAAAAGTGTTTTTCTCAAAAGTATATTTGGTGAGAAGCACTTTGTGTTTGGCTAATTAGTTTGAAAAGCACTTTTGAGCAGCAAATAGTGTTTGGTCAAGCTTTAAAAAACTACTTCTAAATGTATTTTTCTCAAAAGTGTTTCTCAAAAAAAGTGTTTTTGGAGAGAAACTACTTTTTTCTGCTTCTCCAAAACTGCTTCTGTTTCTCCTCAAAAACACTTTTTTTCCTTCCAAAAGCTTGGCCAAACACCTCAATTTTTGGCAAAAAAAAACACTTTTGGCCAAACAGGCTATGAATCCATTGGTTCAAGAAAATAGATGTGTCATGAGCCAATTTGTTCAAACTTAGACAAATTTGACGAATTACAAAAAAAAATTGATTGATTTTGCTACCTCTAATTTACAGATGTCATGACGTCCTTGAAGCCCTTTGGAACCAATCCCAAGAGCCAATTCGAACTCTACTTCATGGAATTCTTCAATGTGCAGTTGGATTCCATCACCTTTTCAACCAAAATCACAAAGGAGCTATGATGGAATTGGGAGAAGGGCTATGCAAGCTTAGAAAATTTAACTTTGAAAATGGACCATTTCATGAGTTTGAGAAAGAAATTTCAGAAGTTTTGGATTTCATATATAGAACACAACTAGAACTTGCTGCATGTGGTGATGATATTTGTGTAACTCTTGATCAATCAGAAAGATCGTATCAACTTCTTGGTGGCTATGCAGCAGGCCAAAAACTTTATAGCTTGGAAAATGACCAAGATTATTATTACCTTGTTTTTTCTTCTGGAAGATATCATGGTAATATAGAATATCTTAGGATAAAACTTCCAACAATTGATGCTTCTGAAGGAAATTTGAAGGAGTTGGAGTATATTTGACAACAGTGACAAATGCAGGATTTTTTTATAAGTTGTATCGACCTATTATTAAATGAGTTGGAGGGTTTTAAGATTTTACTTTTTATGTCCTTAGTTAATTTTTTTTCTTTTCATTATTTTCATTAGTGTTTGTTTAATGTACATTTATACAACATTATTGTGTTTCTAAAAATATTATTTACATATGTTTAGTGAATGTGACTTTTCTTTTGGATTCGCCACTATTGACAACTAGGAATGTACAAAAAAAATCGATAAATAGCACCAAAATGATAGTTCGGAGTCAAACCAGGAAAAACCCAATCAGTGGTTCGATTTCATTTTGTTTGATATTAAAAAAATGACCATAATTGATTTAGTTTGGTTTGGTTTGATTTTAACTAAAAAAAAAGTCAAATCAAAATCAAACCAGCCTGATCTTATATGTACACTATTTTTAAAAATATTTATTGTAATATAATATATAAATATCTCTTAAACTCTTTCATAATTTTTGTCTTTTAGTATATTGTTTTAAACTTAGACTTAGAATTTTTGAATGATTCAACAAATTTTATACGTTATAGATTTTAGTAACTCAAAACAAAGTTTAAACCAAAACCAAATTAATAGTAATGCAAGCTAACAAAAGAAATTCAACTCAATAGTGTTTGTTTTCGTGCCATTTCATTCTCTTTGTTGTTGAATATTTTAATACAATGATATGACTTGTTATTTTCTTAGGAAACACCTTATCTAGTTGTACTTGTATCTTACTAGGACTAAAAAAATATTTGAAGCACAAGTTATATGTTTTGTGCTATAAATTTACAGAAATAAAATCCAAAACCCCAAAAAAACTCAAAAAAAACTGAGAAAAATCGAGCTTGAAAACCTCGATTTTTGTTGGTTTGGCTTATAAATTTAAAAACTCGACACAACTAATTTGGTTTGGTACTTGAAAATCCCTAACCAGGCCGACCTAAATACACGTCTATTGACAACCATGTTACATATGTGCGTGTCCTTCTCTTTATTATTTGATTTTCTGTTAAAATTTTTGGTCTATATCTTGTTTTACAATTTAACATTTAATTTGGAACTCGGATATTATTATTATTATTATTATTATTATTATTATTATTATTATTATTATTATTATTATTATTATTATTACATATATATATATATATTCTTTCTCATTAATTTGCCCGAGTTAAATACCAAGAAGCTAATAACGTCAAGTTTTTTTTTTTTTTTTTTTTTTTTTTGGACCTTGTTCAAGTTTTTTTATTTTTTTGGACCTTGTTCAACACTAAAACGGAGAAGAGTTACTACGCAGCTTCATAAAACAATTCCAAAACCCATCGGTCTTCTAATCCGTTTCGTGTAGCCAAGCCTTTGGGTGATTAGAAGTGCCTTTTTTTAAATTAATTAATTTTTCTCATCATGCATATTTATATTATTAATCTTTTTCTAAATGTTTTCCTTTTCTGAAAGTTATTGGGAAAAGTTAAATCCGTTATCGGTTAGGATTAAAGTTATTTACATGTCTATATATATTAAAGTGATTAGTTTTCTTTTTCATTCTTCTTGTGTTGATTGTCCAATCAAATTTTAGATATGGAGAGTAGCAATTATCCACCGTGGTTGTCACCTTTATTAAATACTGATTTTTATAGACCCCATAATTACTGTGAGGCACACAATAACCAGTATTGTACCCGCTTTTGTAAGAGCTGCAGAAGCAAACCTCTTTGTGAATTATGTTGGAAGGTTTCTTCACATGAAGGTCACCAACTTTTGCAGGTAAGTTTTTCACCAATAAATAAAAGTTCCTTCTCTTATTTTAAATGAGTGTCTTTTGTTGAACCATCTCAAATTTTGGAGAGTTCTTTTTCTTTTTTCTGCTTTCGGCATTTTTGAACTGAAACCCTGCCTAGTTAATACTAATAGTTTTGTTTGTCAATGCAGATATTTAAAGTTTCTGAGAAAGCATCAGTACGAAAAGTAGATATAGAAAAGGAGGTAGACATCACCGATATTCAACCCTATATAATAAACAATCATAAGGTTATGCTGCTGAAACCAAAAGAAGGAAATGGCGGAAATCCCAAGTGTTTCTCATGCCAAGGGAGAATAAAGGACGAAGAGTATCTATATTGCTCGATTGTTTGTAAAGTAAGAAGCAAGAGAATTAATTTCCTATGCAATGGCAAAACTGTTAAAGGAGAAAAACCTGAATGCTTAGCTCAGAGTTGTAGCCTAAGAAGAAAACCAAGAAAGAGAACGCCCCGAAGATCGCCCTTATTATAAAAAATGATGTATTTGTGTCTTAGAACCAGTTAGTGCAGGAATGTATACTATAAGCTATGGATTCAAAGAACTCAATAGCTTTGGCTTAAGCTTAGTCGATTTATTAAGAAATCTGCTTCAACTATGTCAATATTAAATTTTGAGTCCTGTAATTCAAATGGTCAATGAGTTCAATGGCATCCCAACCCAATAAAGTTCAAATCTTGAATTTGCCTCTAAGTCAATGTACTTTACTGATTGCGAGCTAATTATGCAGACGCAGCCGCACTTCTTCATCTTTTCAACTATAAATAGATTTCATGAGCATCTAATATGATTCCGTGATTATAGAGTATTTTAATTTTCACAATATGCAAAAAGAAAGGATGCGTTTTCAAGAAGATACAGACGAGCCGTCTACACAATATTATAAATTATAATATTTGCACTTTTTTTTAAAAAAAATTCCTATGTCAAACATCCGCCTTAGGGTCCTGACCAACTAAATTCGCACCTCATAATAACCATTAAAGGTAAAAGACTAAATACCAGAATTTTTTCATTTACAGGGCTTGAACCTAAAACCTCAGAAGATTCTATCCATGTCACAATAACCCATGGTGATAACAATTTGAAGTTAAAACCGAAGAAGAGTTGCTTGGACCTTTTTCTTCTGCATGGAAGGCAATGGGAGTATAATTGATTGTTACCATTGATTAACCAAATTCAAGCTACTGTATATCCTAGAGTGAATCGGATTTACACTTGCGATTGATAGTTGATACCATATTAACACTGGAAATTTGGATGAAAACAATACCACCTTAATGGTGGCATGAAATGCTATCAGAGCTGGAGGTCAATGATATCATGATATACAGCAACTCTCTTCTTTTGGGGTCAAGATATACAGCAACTTTTACTATTCAGAGTGATCTATTCCAGTGTAAGTATCAAACAACAGACTGCAGATCTCCAAGCATAGAGAAAAGCTCCATCTTCTGAATTATGCATGCAATTTCCAGATTACCAACCAACAGAAAAAAGTAAAGGGAAATAAGTCTGGTAACAAGGGATATGTGTTCTCTACAGAACAAAACCTTCTAATAGACATTAAAAAAAATTCATAACATAATTAATATGGACAGACTGAATTTACCCATACCTTCATAGGAAATAGGCTGTGAAATGTTTGACATTACACTGTCATTAGTGCTGTAGGGTAGCAAAGAAGCCAATTAGCAAATACTTTCGATGGTTAGTTATCTTCCATTTCATGATAGACTGCCCGTACTACCATGAACAGAACGTGCATATGCCTCAGATAAGTTTTTCAGCCAATGGGGCCTTGTATTCGTGTTAGATCCTCAAAAAAAGATAATATTTGGAGGATCTAACACGGTGCAACGACATTTTTAAGGAGGCGAGCAACAGTGTCCATTACATAATTAAAATAGACATACCTATAAATAACTCCAGCACTTCCCCATCAACAAGAAATAAATTACGCGGTATGCTAAAAATGAACAGTTACACTTCTAGTCCATCTCGGTCAATAAAGCAGATACAAGATAATTGGAAATATTACTGCTAAAATCATCACAATGAATGGATTCATTGTAAATTGTGAACTGAAGAGTTACACTTCTAGTCCATCTCGGTGAATAAAGCAGATACAAGATAATTGGAAATATTACTGCTAAAGTCATCACAGTGAATGGATTCACTCTGTAAATTGTGAACTGAAGAGTTACACTTCTAGTCCATCTCGGTGAATAAAGCAGATACATGATAATTGGAAATATTACTGCTAAAATCATCACAATGAATGGATTCACTCTGTAAATTGTAAACTGAAGAGTCCCCCCACCCCCCTGTCCCTTGAGACATAACAATTCTGGGGAGAGACTTTGGATTACCAAAGCTAATATGCATAGAGTAGTCTAGGAAAGTGGCATTAGAAAGGCTATTTACATTGGATGTTTGGGAAATGGTTATGAAAGGTTTTGCCTGCCAACTCCTGCCTATTTTAATGCAAAAGCGAAGCTGAAGTTTTTGTCCAAATAGGGATGATTAACAAAACACCCTAGAAAAATAATGAAATGAAAATAGACATTTAAAGAGAAAACTCGGGTATGGTAAACAAAACAAAAAAGTAAAGTCTTTCCCCTGAGGAACATGATCAGTGAAAATTCATATTGCCGGTCCCAATTTGTTTGGGACAAAGGTGAAGTTGCTGCAGTTTCTGCAATTAGTTGTCACTTGATGTATAATACTTTCTAACTTTCTGATAACCATTGTTCATTTCAATAGTATGTTAACTTATTCTTATTCTTTTACAATTATTAATATGCAAGACAGTAATAAGCAATATAGTTGATTCATTGGTCCAAAGAAAGACGCAAACTCAACCAGCAGCAAGATTACACAACCAAGCGCGCGCTCTTAATTCACATGATCTTCCAACATTAAATGATAGGAAGATCTAAAGCTTCATAAAAGGAATGTCTTTGCAGTATGGTGCAATTATTATACTCATAATCATAGCTTGGTATATCAAGACTAAGTATGAATATAGCTAGACATTTTCTCGAGACACAAACCAGGTTTAATCCACATGTCAGCCAAAATGATTAAATAGAACCTTGCGTCACTTGATACTTTCTTGGCAAATTATCATTATACAGGTGTGTCTAACGTTCTACATCCCATTATCAAATGATTATTGATCTGTTTTATAGTTGCAATTAGTTGTGTCCTACTTTGTTTTTTATTAAAACATGGTTATGCGCATTTTTTGTACAAGTTATCTAAGAGGTAAGTTGTACCTAACATATATATCAGACAGCAGAGTAGATTTTAACTAAATTTTCATTAACCTTCACGGTCAGAACTTACAGTTGTCTGTTGGTAGTTGGTAATAAGGGTCTGTGGACCCCTTAGAAAGAAGCTACTGGAGCTGTTCTCTATAGCATGCGGAGGCATCTCCGATACCTCCTTTGACCTACCTACAAGGGGAAGATTGGAAAGATGGTCACCCCAGATATCATAAGTAAACTTTTCCTCCAACCCCATCTTTTCATCAGTTTTAACTGCCACCTGATTTTGAGGTTTAGATCCAGGAGCTCGCAGATGTGGAGCAATTATAGAACTTGAAGCCAATAGTGGTTGACGACACATCAAGCGAGGAGCAGATTTATCAGCAGAAGGGAAGGTTGCTGAAGGCAACAGAACAGGTTTGCTAGCTAATTTCTTTGGTGCAGTAGGCTTCTCTTGACGAGGAAAACAAGCATTTTTGCCACCATATGTTACTGTCGCCTTTGTCTCGGATACATTCTTCTGACATGCAAATTTGGAGTGTGTACTCTTTTTACATTGATCATTACCAACATCAGCAAAGGGATTGCTGAGCTTAGCAGATCCATCCACATCAGTAGACTGTGGAGATGGCCGGCTAGGTGTTGAACTTGAGGTAGGAGACAAGGGTGACGATGGTGTAGAATTGCCACTATGACTACTTGAAACTTCAAAAACTCCAGCCAAAGCAGTTGCAGAATTCTTTTTCTTCTTTCGCCGCCTCCCTTTCTCTTTTCCAATTTTGACAGTGAGATTACTGCTTTTGGAGGTTGCATTTGTATCAGCACTCTGAATTGCTACAGACTTCGTAGAAGTTGACACTTCCAATCCCTTTTGGGTATTTGATAAACAGTTATATCCTGCACAATGATTCAGATTGTGATCAGTTACACCTTGAGTTTCGGAGGCAGCTTGACTATCTTCAGATGTACCAAAACTTTCCAACAACAGTGCTTCACCTTCCCCAATTGATCTAAGCAAACCGTTCAATTTAGAGAAGACGAACTTGCCACTCTGTTTGTCACTAGGATGCATGCAAGACAGTTTTCCAGCATGATCTGCAGATGCAATATAGCTTTTACCACTCTTAGGCAAGCACTCATGGGAGCCAAAGGCCACGAATTGGGGTATGATGCACCAAAGAACCAGAAAGAATAAAGAAGCTAGGAGAAGAATTGTGAACAGCAATTTTTTCACCTTCATCCAGAACAAAGACTTCTTGCAGAAATGAAGCACACAGATAGGAAGACTAGCTTTCATAGGTATAACAAGAATGCCAGTTGCCAAAGTCAGTTCCAGATCTCTCTGTATAGTAGCAACGGAAAAATCAGTATGATATGATATAACAAGCTTTATAGACTCCTCAGGTTCAAGAGAAAAACCTTTACAACCATTTATTACAAACCCATCTGTTCCACACTTTGTTCCAGAGATTTCAATTTTTTTGACCTCCAGGGGAAAGTCACCCACGTTCTTTGCGTGAAGCTCTTTTGATAATGACAAAGAACACGCATGAGAATTATCCTTCATGTTATATAACACACTCGAAGAAGAGAGATTAAGAGGGGTTGGCATGTTTAATTTGAAGTCCAGGTTCTGTACAGGTTCAAACTCATCAAGCAAGACCAAAGAAAGCAACCCTCCAGATCCTCTCAGAGGTAACCACTCCACGCCAGAAAGACTGTTCCTGACCAAAGCTGAACTTTTCCACTGACATCGAGCTGCAGGTTGAAATAAAATTGGACCAAATGATGCTCTACCAAAAGGGTGAAGAAGAGCTTCAGTTACTGCATTCTCAGCTAGCGAAAAACCATATCTCCTAGGAGCAATAGAATAATTGCCAACTATTCTACTGGATAGAGAAGGCTGCAAATGGCTTCCTGAAGTCTTGCACTCATCAACAATTTCCCAGGAGTTCAGAACAAGCTGAACCAAGATTGGTTTTTGACTTGGGTTTTTTACCGTGATCCATTGAGACTGATGACTTCCGACCTGAATCACTGGAAACACAATTTCACTTTCATCCAGTACTGACATGCCATTTGCAGTAGCTTGAGATTTCCAGTTCCTCAATACCAACTCATCTGCCACTGTTGTATCCACGGCCTGCATATTAAATGGATAGACATATCAACAATCAAGAGCTAATTCTATATACAACTGTACTAAATGAAGAAGGCATATGACTAATACCATAATGACAGCTATCTCCACAACAAGTACATTCAGATTAACCATGGACAAAATTAGAGTTGTTTCACAAAGCTTAAAAAGTGAAGTTTTACATGAAATAAATTCGCGTCAGAACTACAACTCTGCTGACGTAGTAAACACAGCTCATTATGCACATTCCCATCATTTCTGCTAAATTCTGTGGGAGTGGTTACAGTGATTCAAGCATAAGAAATCAAAGAATAGCTTTTGATAATCATTACGGGTATATTTGCAGAAGAATTTCTTCCCTATTATGTACTTAAAAAAACGGAAAGTGATAATAGAACTTTGCCAGAGAGGGAGAAAATTGGATCCAGCATCTTGAAATACGAACAGAACACCACACAGTTCTTTTTCCACAGAAGTCCCTAATCAAATACTTAAAGTCCAGAGTCATAACAAAATTTACATCCTTGTGAATGAGAAAGTGGGTTCCAGTCCAAAAACAGAGATTGGAAACCAAGGTTATGGTATGAGCAAGGAAGCCTCTAGATGCAATGAACAACCATGCCAACTTTACATGAAACTAGTGTTTCTGATGGATTAATTTTAACACGCATACATCCTACTATAGATTAGGCAGAAAAGATGAGTCCCTGAATTGTACTTTTTTTGAAGAGGCAAGCCCCTGAATTATACTTGATATGGTATTGCATGGCTCCACCTTTCATATGTTACAGGTTATGCTGATAATCAAGGACTTCTACATTCTACATACACAGATACTTTTAAGGACTTAGTTTGAGTTTCTTGCCACAGGATTTTCAGATAAAAACCTCAATATAAATTCCAGTTGCCAGCAAAAATTCATCAAATAGGAAAAACACATATAAACTTAGATCTTTAACTCTTAATAATTTGAACCCTGAAACTTGTAGAAGTTCGACAAATTATTTTTACTCATTTAAGTGTTTGAAAAATCCCCTGAAAAAGAGATGTTACACCCACAAAATTAGCGAGATAATAAAAACCAATGTCAGAATTCCAATACCTTGATTTCTGATGGTGAATGCATGCTGCTGCTAGACATTGTTCTTGAATTTCCAAGTTCTACCTCGTCAGAGTATTCTCCATGACCAATAGAAGAGTCAAATTTACCTCCTGAACAAAGTCTCACTACATCACGGCAAGCAACTTCAATGTCAGAAGTTCTCGAATCATTAGTTGTTATTAGCAATTTACAGTTCATGCTCCTTTCATGAGCTTGATCCTCTCCTTGCAGCAGAGGATCAAGCAACTCAACAGCTGGGGGAGTGTAAGTGACAACAGCCACCTGCGTAACAGTGCGAGGAAAGAGTAGCAATCCCTCAACATATCTGATCCGAAAATGCTTGGTGTTTTCTCCAGTCTCACTTATCCTGACAATGCTCAATATATAAGGAGAATTATTTCTCACTGACAGAGCTACAAAACTAGTGCCATCAGCAGCACATGGTCCTACAGTCTCAAAAGACAGAGAAAGTGGATCTGTGAGCTCACTAAAAGCTGAAGTCTTGTCCAGTTCTGCTTTGAGAGGAATAACAACTGTATCAGCTTTACCTTTGGAAGAGCTAAGCAACTGCAGAGAAAAGGCGCCAAATATCTCACCCCCAGTATGACTAGGGAAATCTAATTCTATGATGGTCTCAGTTTTCTGAGGATCAATTTCCCAATTTCTATGGGGTCTAATTGCAATTAGAGGAATACCAACCTCACTACCCTTGATATCCAACCACTCCTTAACACCGAGCAAGCTGAAACTACTGTTTGAATCTTTACTTCTACTTACATTACAAATTGCCTTTGCATAACGGGTATTATCTCCCGAAGAAACAGACGTCCAAATAGTTATCTCCTCCACATAGAGGGCTTCATTGTAAGGATTATACAATGAAATATTCTCACTCCGCCTTCCAACAGAGGAAATATCAAGACCGACTAAAGGCTGTATGCGATATGGGGATTCAACAGCAAAACCCTTCACCTGAACAAAGAAACCACCAGAGCTTGTCTGCAAAACAAATTGCGCTGAAGAGAGACCCAACC